TCAGTGCTGCAGAGATGGAATTCATTGCTGTCGTCATGGTTATCACTGCGATTCGACATCGACCCAATGTTTGAGGGGGTGGTTGAGACTGCCGTCTTCTCCCAAGTCGGCCACCAAAGCTATCCAGAAACCTCAGGTGAGTCAGCACTCTGTATATGACGCTAAAATAATGCAAACTATGCAACCAGTAACTCAAAATATGCAACTAGTAATGCAACCTATCACGAACACAGTGGTTACAATGACCTACATGCATGACAATCAAATGATCACAATTTCCGCAGTAAAATATTTTCACGCTGCAAATAATAAACAGTATACAATAAAAAGGCATGTGACTTTTGAAGCAGTTGAAGACATTTTCAGGGTTCAAAACACATTCTGTAGCACGTTCTCAATTACAATAAACAGTCACTTCAATATCGTCTGTATCGTCATCATTTGTAAAATGAAACAACAGGACAATGACTTATTATTATTATTCAAACATATTTATTTGAGCTGCATATTTGTTTATCTTTGTTGCAGTCTGTGCCCTTTGACCAGGCTCTTAAATGGCAGAGCCAGACGGAGACAGTTCATTGTGATGGAAATCTCTACTGCCCAACTGAGCAGTTCTGTTGCAAGACAGCAGCAGGACAGTGGGGGTGCTGCAGCGGTAAAACAAACTTTATGCTGCTATCATAATCATGACACTTATATAAATTTAGACGAACATAGGTTTTAATTTAACCCATAAATATAAAAAAACTCATGCAATGTAAAGTTTTGTGTTTGCTCATGTTATTATTTGTATTTCTTTCTTTTATAGAGATGGTGGTGTAAGTAAACAACCCCTGTGACTTGGTTGCAGCTCTTATCAATGACTATCAACGTGCAAGAGGCTTTTGTCACACTTTCACTCCACATGGACTTTTGTTTTCAGTCAGCACCATTTTCCCTTAGTTAGTTTGTTGTTATGGACAGTCATTAGTGTCAGCTGTGTTGGATTTAGCCTGTTTGGATTATTAAAAGCTGCCTGAATCATCATGTGTGTTTATTCTAACCAAGCGTGACAGCTTTCAGATATCAAATACTGTTGTGGGAAAGGAATAATATACATTCAAGCTGAATCAATGCAAAATAAAATTTTAAAGAACTGCAGTCAAATGTCATTGTCATTTAATAATTGAACTGTTTGTTTTTGAGAGTGTTTTTTAATTTGTTTATACTTTTTATAATTTATCATGAATCAATCAGTGTTTATGTATGCATCTTTTAAGGGGACAAATTGTTCATTCACTTCAATGTACTTGCAACAGCTTATGTTTTTGACATACTGAAATCTTTTCAGCAACGTTTGTAATAAATTAGACTACCATGCTGCTGTAATACTTAGTGTTGCTGTAGTATGCATATATGCATAATATGCATCTTTTCTGTATGCATAATACATAAAAATATATTAACGCCTAGTAGTGGAATAAGCTCATGTGACAAAACACATCCATTTTTGGTGATTCAGTGACTCGCTCAACACAAAACACTCTCACTGGTCACCACCTAATGGATCTTAAAACAAATAATACTGCTTTAATAATTCCTGTTTGATGATTTTCACAGCCACATTTATGGCATAATTTCCAGAAAGTCAAGTAATTTCAATAACTTGACACACCTGCTTGAATTCAGCACCAATCATGTTAACTATAATGTTGTAAAAGAAGATATAAATGCAGTGACGCTCAGATGTCCCACATTAGTCAGTGTCCCACATTACAATAACCCACCCTCACAATAATCAGATATGCTGAAGTTGTCCCTCTAGTATTTAATATCTTTGATTCTGCTCTGCTGCATTCCATTAAATTCCACTGTGTGTTGTTAGGATGAAAATTTCTAGGGTGGTCTGCCTATGCTGTAAATTCATCATCCTCAGACGTAAAATAGAACAGGGTAAAAACATGTGGCTTTGACAACTGTTTAATTAATGCTTGTGGTTAGGACGGTCATTTAGCCTATTAAAATAAAAATATTTGCAAATATATCAAATGCATTAGTTTGCGATAAATTGTAGTTATTTAACTACTTTTCTTTGTTCATCTCCTTCTAATGTCTTTATGTATTATTTATATCTGCAGGCCACAGTTCAACATCAACATCAACGTCTTCTTCAGGATTAGGCTACTAGAAACTTCCAGGCAAGTGTTTTGGAGCTGGTTGGCGCTACAGTCTGTAGAACACCTGCAGGATCCTTTACTATTATCACATACATTAAATATAGCTGCCTGCAAGCGGCGATCATCGGGGTCCAAGCACAACCCATCAAATATGCAAATCAAACTGATGTCAAAAACTTGACATGACGTTGATTTGCTGTAAATTCAATGTCAAACATATTGACTTACATATACTGTACAAAACCAATTTCAGTGTGGGATTAACTTCCTATTTTCACCCAGTTACCACTAGAAGAAATTGCAGTCCAAACTGAATTTAAAGTGATGTTACAGCATCGTCAGCAATGACTAATATTTGACGTCAAATTGACATCAAGGTGCCGATGGGAAACGCCTTGTGTAGGGTTAAGGCTAGATGGCATACAGCAAAAACTACTGGGCATGCGCACATCAATATAGCGTATTTTTTCTCACACTGTACAACAATGACTATTTTTGCATTATTGTTAGGGGTAGGTTTAGGGTTGGGGTAGGTGTTAAAGGTGCCATAGAATGGAAAACTGTATTTACCTTGGAATAGTTGAATAATGATAGTTCTGTACATGGAAATAACATACCGTGAGCCTCAAACACCATTGTTTCCTCCTTCTTATGTAAATCCCATGCATGCAAAATACCACTGAAAAATAGGTGAATCAGAACATAACACTGACTGTGACGTTACAGTCGGGATCGCTAATAGTTACGCCCCCAACATTTGCATATACCCACCCATGTTCTATGCCAGCCACCAGCCGAATCTGCGCAGCCGAATCATCAGAAGTTCTGCAGGTATTGTGACGAAACAAGCGAGGATAATAGCGAAAATGGCAGATCATGGAAATAAATGTTATGTTCCAGGCTGTGCAGGGGATGTGATGTGCAGGGATGGACAGACTAACTAAAGCCGAACAAGCATCATAGGACCCCTTACTTCCAGTACTGCCGCTGTAGTTTACACAGCACGTGCGATCGCAAATCTCGAAAGCGAAAGTAAAAAAGCATGGTGCATTCGAATATATTAATAGCGGCTCCCTGATGCCCGCATTTTATATACAGTATAATTACCCAACGATATAACTGCGAGAGAGAGTATTGAAATATATATATATTTTCAAGTGTTTCCTTCCTGCTGTGTGAGCTACTGAAAAGAGCTGCACTGTGAAACAGCCAATCAGAGCAGAGCTCAACATTATTATTCATGACCCTTCCAAATAAGGTAAAAACAGGCCATTGCATTCTAGGGACAAATCCTAGGGTTGTAAATGGACAAGTAAACCCGTTTCTGGAGATTTTTGCCCTTAAGCCACATACCTTCTATGTAGATATCAGAGAACAATTTAAAATATTGTATCAATGCATTCTATGGCACCTTTAATAAAACACAATCGAATAGGTAGAAAATTCAATTTATTGTTAGCTTACGGTTTTAGAGGATACGATGTAAATCAGCTTCCATGTGTTTAGCCCACTGAGAGCAGTGGTTTAGCCACGTGTCATCGCGTGCCTCCATTACGCGTTTCTATAGCAACATCTAACGAAAGACTTGCGTGAGTAAAAACATGCAGAGAATGTCGGCAATGAACAGGAAATTAATCCAAAACCTCGCCGAAACTTTATGCAAGCAGGTCAAACATTGTAGGTATCTACTAATGTGTTTTTTCCTTCTAAAATGTCAGTTAATATTATTCTCATAAAACGTTTGCTAGCAGATATTAGTTCATTACCCGACTGTGTCCAGCATTAAAAATCAGAAGAAAATGCCTTGTTTAGTGACTGTTCAGTCATATGTCAATACTGTGGTCGTGCTGTAGTTAATAAAACAGAGACGGAGTGTCTAATAAGGCTGTTCAACGGTGTGCTGGGAGAGCAGGCAGAGAGAAGAGCGGCTCATGGACTGGACCGGGTCAGGTTCAGAAATCTACTGCACAACACATTCGGCATGACCGACGATATGATGATGGACAGCGGTACGTTTGAGTATAAACCTAGTAGTCTGGTCTGAGTACTGAACTGTAGACACAACCACTAACATAATCGAAATTGCATATAGAGAAGTGTGTTCAATTCAAATACACACACATATATAAACATATTTATATGATATGTAGATGTATATGAAGTTTGCAGAGTAATAAATATGATGATATAGTAAATGACTAATATTTGCAGTAAATTTCTAATTGATCAAATAATATTCGAATAAACTGATTATTCTTTTTATGAGTCTCAGGAGAATATTAACTACTTCATTTTTGTATTGACAGTTTTTCGTGCCTTTGACAAGGACAATGACACCTACATAAGCGTCAAAGAATGGGTGGAAGGTTTGTCTGTCTTTTTGCGAGGCACACTGGATGAAAAAATCAAATGTGAGTTCTTTATGTGGCAATTTAATGTGGTGATCATAAATATTATGTACATAATATTCATATACTAATATATATATAGTCTGTTTTGATGTATACAACCTGCATGGCGACGGATACATCTCACGGGAGGAGATGTTACAAATGCTGAAAGACAGCCTCATCAGACAACCCACTGAAGAGGATCCCGATGAGGGCATTAAGGACATTGTGGAGATAGCCTTGAAGAAAATGGTACTGCTATTTGTCATAAAGCTTACATATGTATTTTATACTTAACAATGGTCAAATATTACAAGTATTTTTTTTTTTCAGGATTATGACCATGATGGGAAAGTTTCTTATTCTGATTTTGAGAAGACAGTCAAAGATGAAAACCTTTTACTAGAAGCTTTTGGCAACTGCCTCCCAGATGCAAAGGTAGAAATCACAAGCAACTATATAACAATTTATTGTAATTTTAAAAGGACAAGCTCTCAAATTGTTCTTTCATTTGTTTGGCAGAGCACACTGGCATTTGAGCAACATGCATTCCAGGAGCTACATGGACATTGAAAAGAATCACTTAATTTCTTTATGGGGAAAAAAAAGATAGTTAAACAATATTTGTGGGTGAAACTGAAATAAATATCTAAAATATTGTTCAATGTGAGACCATGATTGTCTTATTAAATTCTTCTGCGTGGCTTTGCAGTAGGGGTCTTCACTAGTACAGGTTTGACCTGTGGAACAGATGCAACCTAAGAAAAGAAGAAACAACATATCACAATATACCATAATGAAATAAATATATATATATATATATATAGCCTATTTAAATGTTTTATTTTTCAGTTGTAGTTATTTTAGTACATTAAATTAAACTAAATGTTGCCTTGGCAACTAGGTGAAAAGTTTTTTATATATATATTTTATTTCAGTTAATATTTATTTTATTTCAAGTAACGAAAATGTTTA